TATGAATTGGCGCTATACAAACAAAATTGAATGGAATTGAATTGAGCTATCCAGGCCTGTAATGTTTCTATAGAGCGCTGCAGGAATGAAACCCGGTGTTAGCATTTTAACCAACAAAGTCAATGGGTTTATTGATGTCTGAAATAAGGTCTGTGGTTAACATGAGCTGGAGAGATTTTCACGGTTTGTTTCCGTTAAAACTGATCATGAAATACTCCACCATATGTTGCTGCTTTTATGTGTCTTAAAAAAGACAGATGCTAACAAGTGTCTAAATGAGACTACAGAGTTGTCAGTGACATTAAAACACAGAGACTTTACCCTCTAGTCCGCCTTTACAGCTTTGTTGTGTTTATACTTGCGTAGGGCTCGTTATTGTTCAAAAATGTTCTATATATCGGGACTGAAATCAATTCCTTGACTTTGATACCAGTTCCTGAACGGTACTTATTTATAAAATTCATTCTAACAAGAAGAAAATGCATTAAACATTACAGTACAATTACTCACTACAAAGGAGGAAGCTATTCAAATACCTTATTTGTGCTGATAAGACAAGAAATTTTTCTATACTCTGTAGTATCAATGCAATTCGGTCAGTTAAACTTCCGTACCCAGCTCTATCCTCGCGCTCTTGCAACTATTATAACTCAAACTTTACAACTTTAATTAAAGATTTAATTACAAGTTTAGTGGTGGTAAAGTCATGTGACCGTGGTAGTTCATTTATAGCGTTAGCTTTTTACTTAAAAATAAAGTGTAGTTCATTAGTGAAGCAGCCGTACAAAATCACAACATATTAAAATACAGCACAATGTGCGCCATCCCTGCAGCTCTCTATCGGACTACGTTCCCTGGTCTCTGGTAGCAGTAGAAAGGTTCTTCAGAGAGAAAGTGCTTCAGGTGGTTGTTGAAATGTTTCTCAATAGCGTTCTTCAGAAGGTGACTTGGGTTGAGGTTATAGGTTGTATCTTGCTGCAGTAATGTGCTTATTTCCTGCACTTTGAGAAAAACTGACAGGATGGTTGTTAATCTGTTCTTTGTATGTGGCCTCGTTTTGTATTTATTATCACAGGAACCGACACGGCACGCCAAACGTCTGTAAATGCTTCTCTTTTTATTTGACAGTCCTGATTAAGTTTCTTGATGAAAGCTATTTAAAGCCTAATATATTTGCTTGGTACATATTGGAAACACACATGGTACTGTCTGACTGCAGTTTATTTATACACTATAAGTCTGATGTGTCTTTTTTAACACTTCCACCACTGGTGCCATAATATCGTATTTATACAGCTTTTAGACAAATGTTCGTTGTGTTTTAGAGCCTCATTTCCCTGCTTTCAGATCAGTGAATAATAACCTGTTTCTGCGTTTTGCATAACGTAAAATTCAGATGAATCATCCAGCAGAAAGTTGTCTTAGTTTCAAACTAAATGGATGAGATACACGGGCACTGCAATGGTTTTTGTGTCAATATCATAACTTGTTGCTGGTCTTTTATCAAATGTGCTAAAATGTGAAATAAAGTTGCTGAAACCTCCATTTTAGGTTCCCTGGAAAAATAACAAACGTAGCCTTGTTTTAGCCGACACAGCCAAACATACTTTCACCAGAAAATCTATGATTAGGAGTTCAATTATAACTTTCATTTTATTAATTACAATCTAATATTAGGGTCAATTTCCTGTTTCTCAGTTATCAGTTTATTCTCCGAATATCCAGTACAGAGAGAGGTGGGGGGGAGCAGGGGGAAACTGTTCTCTCCGTCAAAGAGGAAAAGTCCAAAAATAATTCTTCTTTTCCTAAACCTAAAAAAACCACAAAGACACTTGGATACGTGCTAACAGAAAGTTTTTTAGTGACATTTCAAGCACCAGGTGAATTTAAATTCTCTTTTGAGTGGAAACACGTTAACTTTTTCACGTTAATCACTTGTTTATTGTTGACCTGACTTCGTTCTTTCCTGTACGCCCCAAATACTAAATAACATATGAGACCATTTTTGGACTTGGGTTTGAAATGTTCAGTCTGATGCTAACTTGAATATGTTGGACAATTAGCATAATTAGCATTAATAATCAACTATATGGAATATCTGATCAGCTGATTGGTTGATTTTGACAATACAGGAGTGGTTTTGGTTGGTTATTGAGGACACTGAATCCATTTCTGATGGTTAAACCAGTATCCATATTTCAACTCCTAGTGGGCTGATTTTGATTAATTTTGAGGTCATTTATATGAATAATACATAACCGCAGCAGCAAAGACACAGCAAAAAGAAGACTTTGAATGTGTTTTCCCTCTGCTTCCAGTCTTTGTGCTAAGCTAGGCTAAACAAATACTGATAAAAGTGATATCCATCCTCTCGTCTGACTCTCAGGATGAACATGATTTTACTGAATGTCAATCTTTGAATTGTAGTTTTTATCCAACCAACTGCAGCCTGAAGACATTTTTTATTCGCAGTCTGGAAGCTCTTTGAGTTGATTGTTCTGGTTCAGAGTTGTTCCAGATATTAATAACTCCCTTTAAAAAGCCACAGAAAGCTTCTGTTCAGCTGTCACACTGCGTTTCTGTTGAGAGCTATTTTGAGTTTCTGACGGCTGATTTAAAACCTGAGCGTCGCTCTCAACCGACTGTAAATGATCCAACTGTTACTGATGTGTGTGTATCATGTTTTTAACCTTCATTAAATGTGGACTTTAACAGGAGAGTTTCAGTGTTCGTCTGTTTCCTCCGACCTCAAATCTTGAATCCTGACAGTCTGGAGCTGTGAGGGTTTTGTCCCAGTTGGCATCCAGTACAATGAGTCTCCCTGCTGCTCAGCCCAATCACAAGATATTTACTGTGTTTGTGAGCTAAGCTGCTTCACGCTGCTGAATGTGACCTCTGCAGGAAAATCTGTCTGTGTCACTACAAACATTACTGATCAGAAAACCAGTGGAGAAAGCAGTCCAGAGGCATGCTAACAGTGCTAACACGCTCACACTGCTAACATGCTGACAATGCAAACATGCTTACATGCTCACAGTAACAGTGTTAACATACTGACAGTGCTAAGACACTCACAGTGCTTACATGCTAACACCATCGATGTATGAAGAGAAGGATACAGCTTTGGAGGCGGAGCTCCGTTCATTATGTGAAAGCTGCTCAGAGGCGCATGAAGCCAAAAGACAAGACTTACTGCTGTAAAGATATTGCCTGGATGGACACATACTGAGCATGCTCAGTGGGTCATATATATATAGACGTAATCAAATGAATCCTCCAGACAAACTGATTCACTCATTCACATGAATTCAACGTGTAAAGATTTGATGTTTGTCACTTGAATAAAACTATTTAACTATTAACTATTGAATTATTTTAATCATACGTCAGCGGTTTGCAGGTGATGTAATAATTTGCTTTAGTGGAA